GAGAGGGAAGGAATGGGGGGGCGGTGGCGTGGCCGCGGTGCACCATGGGAGTTGTGGTTCGGCGCAGCGGGACTCTCGCTCCCGGCGTGCCGCGCGGCAGCACTGGCGCCGCGGCGCATGCGCGGTGCGGGGCGGCGCGCGCGGCGCGGAGATGGCGCTGCTGCGGCTGCGGGCGGCGCTGCGGGGCCCGGGCGGGCTGAGGGGGCCCGGTGAGCGCGGGCACCGGGGCTCGGGCAGGGGCGGGCACGGGGCCCGGGCGGGCTGAGGGGGCCCTCGGTCCCGAGCATCCCCCGGGACCCAGCTGCGGGCCGCGGCGTTCCTGCCCCCTCTCAGGCCCTCCCCGCTGGGACAGAGCTGGGGACCGAGAGGATGTTTTTGCGCCGTGAGGCCCCCGGGGATAGAGGCGGGACCGTGGAGGTGCTGGATGTTGTTCCTCTCCAGAGAACAGGAACGGGAGGGTTCTGGGTCCCGTCCCAGCTGTGGGGTAGCGCTGCCCGCGCTGAGGGTCCTGGGGCTCTGCCACCCCCTTCGCAGCGCTGGGGTTCGTGGTGTCCCTGGGGTCGCGTTCCCTCCGAGCGTCCGGATCTAGGGAGTGAGGGGCGTCCCTGTCCCTCCTGCCCCTTGCGGCCCTCGTGCGCTGCTTCTGGGGCAGCTGAGCTGAGAACAGCCACTCGCTCACTGTCACCTCTGTGCCCAGCTGGGGCCTGACCGTGGGGCGGGGCTGGGGGCGCTCTGAGGGGTGAAGCCTCCTCTGACCCCCTGCACCTTCGTGTTTTTCCGCAGCAGGGGTTCCATGGAGCGTCCTCAGGAGCTACTCATCCGCCAGCACCAAGGAGAAGGCGAACAGGAACAGCACCTGCGAGAGGACGGAGCTGCTGGAAGGTGAGTGCTGGGAGAGCTGCAGTGAGCAGGTAGCAGTCAGACCAGCCACAGCTTGGTTCTCGGGATGCTGGGGTGGGTTCCTGAGATGCTGGGATAGGCCCCAACCTGCAGGTGGATCCCAGAGAGACAGTGGTCAGAATCTGTGTCTGGGAGTGGGGCTGGCCAAGGGGGGTAAAGTCCTTGTGTGGATCCTCTTTTCTGAGCATGTTCCTGGCACTCCCAGAGTGAGGCCCAGGGCAGGACAAAACCTTCTGCTGTGCATTGCGTCCCATCACCTCTCTCTGTCTCCCTCCAGTGCTCAAAGCTCGAGCAAAGCAACTCCAAAGCAGTGACGCCCCAGAGGTGACAGTCAACAAGGTGGAGCTGGCCCCGCTGGGCAATGACAAGCACCAGAACCCTCTGCAGAAGGCCATGGCCTCTGGCCCCACACAGGAGCAGCCAGTTCCCAGGGCAGGGCGGTGCCCAGACCGGCCCCACAGCTGGGTCGAGACGTTGCACAAGGAGACGTGCATCCAGCAGCTGAAGTTGGAGCGGAAGTTATCCATGGCTGCCTCCCAGCTGGATCTGGGAAGCCAGGCCCAGGCAGAGGCCAAGCCAAAGGCCCAGGCAGAGGCCAAGCCAAAGGCCCAGGCAGAGGCCAAGCCAAAGGCCCAGGCAGAGGCCAAGCCAAAGGCCAAGATAAAGGCCAAGGCAGAGGCCAAGCCAAAGGCCAAGCCAAAGGCCAAGGCAGAGGCCAAGCCAAAGGCCAAGGCAGAGGCCAAGCCAAAGGCCAAGGCAGAGGCCAAGGCAAAGGCCAAGGCAGAGGCCAAGGCAGAGGCCCAGATAAAGGCCAAAGGCAAACCCAAAGCAAAACCCATGAAAAGCCTGAAGACCTCAAAAGTTCCAAAGGTGAAAGCAGCCACTGCCTGGAGCCAGAGCTCCACCAGCCCCCACAGCCTCTACAGCCACAGCAAGCCCAGGGTGGTGGCAGTGAAGGAAGGTGTGAAGCTGGAGAGGCCTCAGAGGGCACTGAAGGACAAGGACAGCAGCCAGCACAAGGAGACCATCCAGTCCACCCTGGAGTGCTTCCTGTTCCTGCAGCAGCCGGAGCAGGCTGAGCGGATCCTCATGCTGTGCCACAGATCTCCAGTGAAGCAGAAGCTGCTGGATGTCAGTGCCTACAACATCGTGATGCGCTGCTGGGCCAGGAAGGTACTGAGCCATGGGTGCTCTGGGTGGGAGAAGGGCTAGCTCAGGAGGAAGAGCCTTGAGCTGGTCATGGTTTTACTTGTAGTTGTCGCACCTGCCTTCAGCAAATGTTCAGGGAGTGCTTGGCTTCTGCCAAGAGGAACAAAGCTGGCATGAGGCCACGAATCCCTGTGAGGTGGCTTTGAGGGGACGAAGGGGATGGGGAAGGGGATGGGTAGAGGTGACTGAATCTAAATAGGAGTAGAGGGGCGTGAAGCTATGATTTTGGGGCTACTGGTGTCGGTGTATCCGCAGCCCCTTTCCCTTCTCATCCCCAGGGCTGCCTGCAGCACATCGACCAGCTGTTTTCCATGCTGGAGTCTGTCGGCCTGCAGCCCAACCTGGACTCCTACGCAGCAGCACTGCAGTGCACGGGCCGGAACCAGTCATCCCCCGAGGCCATCTGGAGGTAACACCTGCCTCAGGTGCCGCTGAGCCCTGGGGCAGCAGCTCCACAGCCTGTGCTGGGAGAACTGGGAGACACGTGGGGCTGGGGCTGGGAAGAGCTGCCCCTGCTGCGTGCACACCTGGATGCTCTGACCATTTTCTTGTGGCCACGTTTTGGGGTGGGCAGAGCTCCTGCAGCACCCTCCCTGCCACCCTCGGCTGCTGGGGAGTTTGTCTGAGATCATGCAGGGAGAGGAGATGTGGGAGGTGAGAACAACTGCTTCTCTCCCCAGAGCTGGGCTGGGAGAGCCCTTCTCCAGTCAGGGTCTCCTTGATTCCCCACCCATCCTGGGCATCTCGCTTCCACTGGCCTCTCTGTCGTTGCCTGGTGGGAATGGCTTGGCTCCTCTGTTTTTACGGCACTTCCGTGCAGTTTCCCCTTCTTGGCAGGCTCAGCCAGATAGCCAGTTCCCACAGGGCTCTCTGAAGGAGCATGGTCAGGAGATTCAGGTGGATCTCACGGAGCACAGTGGGCAGGAAAGTGTCAGACCAAAGCAGGGAGCTGAAGGAGCCCTGTGAGATCCCACAGACTGGGTCTAGGGGCAGTGCCCGGGGCTGGCTGCACAGCCAGCTCCTCAACAGAGGATGGAGAAAGCTGCTGATCCGCTGGTGCTGCACAAACACCTTGGGGATGTATCGCTGGCCTCTGTGTCCTTTGGCTGGCTGACAAGTTCTAGATGCCTCCAAGTGAATATCTTCAGTCAGCTGATTCTGAGGGGGCTGGCAGTGCCCGTCCTGCCTGGTGTGGGAGCTGTGTCAGTGCAGCACACACCGTGGGGCTGCCCGTGGGCAGCGCGATCCCACAGCAGCTGGAGCTCGGCCTCCCTGCCCAGGCCGGGGCTCCACAGTGGTGCAGGCTGAGAGATGGACACCTGATCCCTGTAACCTGAGTCGGGTGACCTTGTGGGACTGGCTGTGCTGAGGCAAATCCCGCCCCAGCAGCTCCTGCACAGCACGCTCAGGCCCCTGGGGAAGATCGAGCCTGTCCTGTCTGCCCCTCCTCAGATACCTGGAGCAGCTGAAGAGCGATGGCTTCCACGTGGATGAGCTCTTCCAAAAGTGCCTGTTTGAGGAAGATGAGAAGGAGAAGGTTCTGAGGGCCATCAGGACTGTCCTGCCCAACTACCAGCTGCCCCCTCCACCCAAGCCCCAGACCTGCAAGTCTGCTCTGCTCCAGGACTTCTACTCCAAAGTAAGCCACAGAGCTCAGGGAGGTGTTGGAGCTGGCCAGGTGATGTTCACGGGTGTCCTCAGGTCCAGCTCAGGACTCTATAAGGGAAGCATTTTTAGCATGGTCTTTGCTCAATAGCCCACACAAATCATCAAATGGATGATATTACCAACAGCCTTACAGAGGAAGAGTGAAGCCAAGGGCTGGCAGGGGCCTGGAGGTGACCTCCATGTGCTAG